ATGGCAATAAATCTTTATGGGAGCAAAAAGTCTCCTCTGTCTCCTGAACAGTGACTGGTAGATTCAAACTGCTGCTGACCTTGCAGTTAGCAATCTAACGCATAACCACTATGCCACTAGAACTCCTAATTTGTTGTGATTGTATCATCTGTAATGTACATTATATAGTTAAAGAATATGGTATGGAGAGACTGAAAAAAAAAATCCTATGGCTCAAAGGAAAATATTGTTAGGTACATTGCTGCAAGATGAGACCGTTAGGTAGGAAGGCATTCAAGGTACACAGTGCTGTAACAATGGTCTTAACCAAATAAACCACTGTGAAGATGGCGCAGGACACGGCCAAGTCTGTTGTCCATGGATTGCTATGGCATGGAAGTGACTTCGTGGCAACTAAGTACAACACCGTAAAAAGGCACTACCAGAAAGTATGTAGGGACAACAAGAGCCAAAGACTATGTGGTGGTGGTGTGCTGTTGAGTCGGTTCTGACTCACAGAGACCCTGCAGAGGGTTTCCCAGGCTATAAACGTTTATAGGAGCAAAAAGCTTCATCTTTTTCCCATGGAGCAGCTAGTAGATTAGAAATGCTGACTTTGCAGTTAGCAGCTCAACACATAACCCACTATATTAACCAGGGATCCTCAAAGGATACAAAGAAGTATCAAGTAAAAAAGAACATAAAATATATTCATACAAACGGATAAAAAAGATCATCCTCTTAGGGCGAGTTGGGTGGTGTTTTCCATAGAGAGAAAATGAAGTGAGCAGAGGAGTAACATAGAGTATTGTGGCTCTTTTCATTTCCTGGATGTCTATACAAGATACTCATTTTCACTGTAGGATGAACACTGGACTGCTAACCACAAGGTTGGTGGTTCATGCCCACCAAATGCTCTGAGGAGGAAAGATGAGGCTTTCTGCTTCTGCAAAGATTTCCAAGCCTTGGAATTCTATACAGGGTCACTGAGTCAGAACTGACTTGATGGTACTTCACAACAAAAACAATTCATTTTCTATTGGATACTTAAATTTTTCAAAACAAAGGAACGTCTATTCTAGCTTTGATTTTAAACAGTGAAAATATAGTTGAGGCTGTTCAAGTAATAAAAATTGTGGAGAAAATTATTGTGTTATCTTATCATTAAGATACTATAGTCAATAAGACTATTACTCAAATTTATGCACCAATCAATAATATCAAAGATGAAGAAATTAAATATTTTTACCAACCTCTGAAGCCTAAAATTGATCCAACATGCAATCAAGATGCATTGATAATTGCTGGTGATTGGAATGAGAAAGTAGAAATAAAGAAGAAGGATCAGTAGTTGGAAAACATGACTTTAGTGATAAAACAATGCAGGAGAGAATATGAAAGAACTTAGAACACCAATAACTTACTCATTGAAATACCTTTTTTTCAACAACATAAATGGTGACTATAAATTCAGACCTCACCAGATGGAACACACAGGAAGCAACTCAACTACAACTGTGGAAAGAGACGATGGAGAAGCTTAGTATCATCAGTTAAAATAAAACCAGGGGCTTACTGGAACAGACTATCAAATGCTCACATGCAAGTTCAAATGAAGCTGAGGAAAATGAAAACACGTCCATGAGAGCCAAAGCACAATCTTGAGTGTATCTATTCGACTCTATCAAGAATGGATTGACTCACTGAACAATAATGACCAAAGACCAGATGAGTTGTGGAATGATATGAATGACATTATATATGAAGAAAGCAAAAGGAAAAAAAAAAATAGGAAAGAAAGAAATGACCAAACTAGATATCAGAAGAAACTCTTAAATGTGTTCTTGAAAGCAGAGTAGTTAAAGCAAAGGAAAGAAATGATGTAGTTTTACAATATTTGAATGGAAGATTCCAAAGGGCAGCCTGAGAATATAAAGTAAAGTCTTATACAAATATTATACAAGCTTCCAATTAAAGTAAAATATAATGTAATTAAAAAAAAAAAAAAGCCTTCTTATAATGAAATGTGCAAGGACCTGGAATTAGAAACCAGAAAGAAAAAGCATACTTGGTATTACTTAAGATGAAAGAACTATGCAAAATTTTAAACCCTGCATTGCAACTTTGAAGGATTCTATGGGTAAAATATTGAATGGTGTAGAAACCATCAAAAGAAGAGGGAAGGAATAGACAGTCATTGTACCACAAAGAATTGGTTGATGTTCAACCATTTCAAAAGGTATGATAAAAAACCCATGATATTAAAAGAACTCCAGTTGCAATAAAGGCAATGGTAGAAAAACAAGGCTCTGGTTGTTGACGGAATACCAATTAAGATGTTTCAAAAAATGTATATAATGCTTAAAGTGTTCACTTATCTGCCAAGAAAGTTGAAAGACATCTACATGGCCAACAAACTGTACGAGATTCATAAAAGTGTCCATTCCAAAGAGTTGTGTTCATGTGGCACCAGTAAATAGACCCAGAGGTAGTCATTTGAACAGAACAAGGGGGAAAGTTGTGTACTTCACCTGCATCCTTTCACCAGATTTACTTAATCTGTATGCCCAGCACATACTCTCAGAAGCTGGAGCATATAAAGACGAACACAGCATCAAAACTGGAGGAAGACCAATCAACATCTTTCTTCAATACCATTGGTTCTTGAGCGTATGAAGGAAGACGTCGAAGCTGAACTGAAGGAAATGGCAAAAAACAAGGCTCCAGGAATGGATGGAATTGAAGTGTTTCAACAAACTAATGCAGTGAAGGAAGCACTCTTTGATCTATGCCAAGAAATTTGGAAGATAGCTACCTGACCAGCCAACTGGATGAGATCTATATTTATACCCATTCCAAAAAAAGGCAACCCAGCAGAATGTGGAATTATCAAACAATATCATCAATATCACATCAAGTAAAATTTTTCTGACAATAATTCAAAAGCAGTTGCAGCATTACATTGACAGGGAGCTGCCAGAAATTCGAGCCACATTCAGAAGAGGCTGTGGAATGAGGGTATCATTACTGACATCAGATGGATCTTGGCTGAAGGCCGAAAATATCAGAAAGATGTTTACTTTTGCTTTATTGACTATGTAAACACATTTGACTGGGTGGATCATAACAAATTATGGACAACATTGTGAAGAACAGGAGTTCCAGACCTCATGAGCTCATGAGGAACCTATACATAGACCATGAGGCAATCATTAGCACAGAACATGGGGATACTAAACGGTTTAATCAGGAAAGGTTTGCACCACAGTTGTATCATTTTGCCACATAAACTATATGCTGAACAAATAATCTGAGAAGCTGGACTATATGAAGAATAATACGATATCAACATTGGAGGAAGGCTCATTAAAAATCTGTGATATGCAGATGACACAACCTGGCTTGCTGGAAGCCAGGTTGTATCATCTGGCTTCTGAAACACTTTCTGATCAAGTGCAAAGAATACAAACTTCAGTACGGATTACACCTCACTGTACAAGGAACAAAGTACTCATCACTCATCTGTCAGTTTGTCATATTGTGGTGGTTTGTGTATTACTGTGATGCTGGAAGCTATGCCACTGGTATTTTAAATACCAGCATATTCACCCATGGTGGGCAAATTTCAGTGGAGTTTATAGAATAAGACTGATTAGGAAGAAGGAAATGTGGACCTCTTCTGAATAGTCAGCCACTGAAAATCTTATGAATAGCAGGGAAACATTGTCTGATATAGTGTTTAAAGATGAGTCCCTCACATTAGAGGGCACTCAGAATAGGACTGGGGAACAGCTGCCTCCTCAAAGTAGAGTTGACCTTAATGATATGGATGGAGTAAAGCTTTCAGAACCTTCATTTGATGATTGGGCACAATCAAAATGAGAAGAACAGTAAAAAACATCCATTAACAATTGAAATATGAACTGTATGAAGTATAAACTCTGAAAATTTGAAGTTGTAAAAAAGGAATAGGTTGCATAAACATTAATTGGAACTATGTGGATCCACATATAGCAATATATATTTCATAAATGAATCAAAAATAGTTCCTAGTATTCACAAGGTGGATGAATAACATTCCCACTTCCAGTTTCCTCTCCGCCCCATACATCAGTCTTTTATATTAGTTTACAAGTTATCAAACTCACTGCCACTGAGTTGATTCTACTCAGGGCAACCCTATGGGGCAGAGCAGAACTGCTCCATAGGGCCTCCAAGACTGTAAAGCTTTATAGGAGCAGACAGCCTCATCTTTCTCCCAAGGAGTGTCTTACAGGTTTGAAGCAGCAACTTCACAGTTAGAAGCCAAGCTTAATGCACTGGGCCACCAGAGATCCTCATTTAATAAACACAAGTACATATTAAAATGACTATATTAGAATATATATCTAATATATTAGAAATTCAAAGTGAAGAGAAAGGGGAGGGAAAGAGGGCCAGTCTTCCTTAAATGAAATAATTGCATTTTAAATATGGATAATTTTCTGGGGGGGGGGCGGGGCGGGGGAGAGAAACACTGAAAAAAACTGCAAAATACAATTTCCCCCATCTTCTGAAAATTTGAGAATTTACTTTGTGTATGTGATACTCGTACCTGCTGAGGTTTCTCTAAATTTGTCACTGGTCTTCTTTTTCCTCCATTTCCAAGGCTTAAAGATTTTACCAATGGTGGATAGTTTCCCCTTTCTCTTGAAGGGAGGTGTTTGGGAACCTGCTGTTGGGCCATCTGAGTTTGCTATAGAAGCTTTGTCTAGTCCATCAACTGTAGAAAGAGAAAAATGAAGTCAGAAAAGAACTGTAATAAAAGTTTGAAACAGCATTATCTATTTCTTCCTGGGCTGTCAACAGTTAGTACATCCACTCTAACTGGAATTTCATATCAAGTTTATTTTGTTCCAATTCCCAGCTAGCAGGACTCCCCTGATATCAACCAGTAAATCAATTGATCAGAAATTACAGTCCCCTTAGGTATTCACTTTCAGGAAGAGGAAAAGTAGTGAGAGTCTTAGATACAAGGGTCTGAGAAAGACAGCTAAGTCCAGCTGCAAAAATGACATCAACATTTTGTGTAGGAATTGAATATTCTAAAAATTTCTGAAATAGGATGTTCCTCTAGAGAGCAGTTTGGCATTCTCAATAATAAATATTATAGTTATGGTTTAGTTAAAACCATGGTTTCTCCTTCACAAAATAAAATTTAGTGCCAAGAATCTAAATTCCAATTTTTATAATGCTAGAACTATCTTTTTGCTCCAATACTAAACACTTTTTAGCTACAAATAAACTGACAGCATTAACAGTAAGACATGCATAGGAGATGTGGGTATTGTGTATGAGGAAACATTATAATTTTCTACCTTCATCATTTTATTTATCAGAAGTGCAGCACAAAACCTTAAGCTGCCTTGCAATAGGTTCAAAAGAGCAGGAAGATACCAATAAATTGTATTATTCCAACTACCAAAATTTAATGGCAAAAAACTAGAATATCAATAGGAGAATGGATAAATAATTGTAATATTACTCATTGAATGAAATACCACTCAGCAATGAAGAAATGAGTAATTGGTTCATACAACAACATGGCTATATCTCAACAACACTGTGCTAAGAAGAAAAAAAAGAAAAAGCCATGCACATGGTTCCATTTATATCAACTTCTAAAATAAGCAAAACTAATCTCTGAAAGAAAAGAAAATCAAAACAATCCTTGCTTCTTGGAGTGAAGTGAAGGTGGGAATTCATTCAGAATGGGCTTAAAGGAAGTTCCTGGGGTGATAAAAATGATCTCAGGAAGCACTGTTTTACATAAAGCTCTTCAAATGGTAGAAACAAGTTTGTGCATTTAACTTTATGTAAAATTTACTTTAAAAAGACATGCACACATATGGACTGTAATTAATATGCAAGCTGGAGTGTTTAGGGGTGAATCATACTGATGTTGTTGTTGTTAAGTGCCGTTGAGTCGGTTCCGACCCATAGCGACCCTGTATAGGGTTTCTGAGGAGCAGCTGGTAGGCATATTGATTGTCATCTAAAAATACCACAAGGATCTACAGGTGGAATGGGCAAATGGAGAAATGTGCAATAAAGTAGTAAGTTATAAAATGTTAGGACTTCAACTAGGTGATGGGAGAGTGTCAGTTAGCTATACAGTTCTTACACCATCTCTGCATGTATAAATTCTTTACAGTAAAATACTGGAAAAACAAAACCAAACCTGAATGACAAGAGCTTCTGCTTTGATGAAGATAAAGGAAACTTACTTTTTCCTACTCGTAAATACAACTAAAAAATTCTGGGCATGATGCATAAAACAAACATATTAAGACTCTGAAAGATGGTGAGAAGGCAGCCTGGCTTGGGCCACCAAGACCCAAAGAAGAGCATGGTGTGGGCAGAGTCCTCGGTTTGTGCCTCATATGTCCCAGACTTGTACTAAAGAAGCCAGAAAGACCAATGGCACAGATCAAAAAAGTCTCCATAAGAGCATGCTCTCTCTAGTCAAATGACCAGGAAAGGGGCAGCCTAGCAAGACATAAAACTTTCAAATGATAACTGCTCTATCCCAGTCAAACACCAGAAAAGAAACAGTTAGCCATCTAAGGCAGCAAAAGGCAGAGTAGAGACACAAGATGTGTACTCTCCAGAGGTGATGAGAAGGAGTTCTAACACCTCCATCCAAACAGTGTCATCAAGGGGGAGCCCAGGTCTTCATTCCTGTCAGCTGGACCATGACTGAGGTGTACACCATGGTACCATGGAGAACATATGGGGAACCTGGACTTTCCATCTGACCTGGCAGCATGAGGTTCCTCTTCCCCACCAGGGTAGTGTCAGAGGAGGTCTTTCACCACCATCCAGGGCTAACTAGACTACCCCACCATGGCATCAGTGAAGACCATGTGGAAAGTCAGAAATCTCATGCCACTCAGCAGTAATGAGGGTCCCACCTCCCCAGTGCACACTCCACTCCCCTACATCCGGTGTCAAGGGAGTCCAAGTGGAGAATCTGAATTTCCACCTCTACCTGGCAATAATGAGATGGTAACTACCCCCTCACCATCCCCACTCGTGTCTCTCCACTAGAGAGATGTCTGACAAAGTCAGTTAACACTGAACATTTCCATAAGATCCAGTCTCAATACACAATACAAAAGTGTCCAGGTATTAACTGAAAAATCACTTCTTATTGCAAAAAAATGGGGAAGATCTCAAACTGAATCAAAAAAGAAAATCAAGAGATGTCAACACCTAAAGCTTTACAAACTCTCCTTCCAAGCAAGGATGATAAAAGAAAGCAGTGCTTCTCATGATTAGAGTCTCGTCTAATTTCAGATGCTATCTGGGTAGAGAGCTACCCAGAGGCTGTGCATCAGTAGGGCAAACTAGAGATGCAAACTCTGCACTGACCAATTCTTCTATGTGGGTCCTAACTCCACTTAGCCCACTTCAGCCATTACATAACTGGTAGAGGGAGATACAGAATACACAGACTTTGTGGTGCAGTAAAAATCCTATGTACATCACGTCCACTCCTGCCCAGCTGCCTTCCTTACAGGGCACAAAGCCACTGAGTTATTGCATACATGGCTTCTGTCTTCTTTTTTAAGACTTCACACCAAGCTCTCACTGAAGGGCTTAGTTTTGAACAATTCAAATGTTGTGAAAGATAAAAAGGCTGATTATTGCAAACATAAGCACTAAAGCTTCCATCTCAAGTGTCATCTCTCTGACTATAGACACATATTGATTTCTCATTTTTCTACAGTAGAGTGGGATCTTTCTCCAAATCCACATATCCAGTTCCTCAACACTCTCCAAAAAGTTTGCTTTCCATCTGAACCAATGAAGCATAGTCAATTTCCGCCCCTGAAAACAAAAGCAAAAACCAAAAATTACTCCCCTAGGTCATGGGTTGTTGTTATTGTGTGCCATCAAGTCAGTTCCGACTCACAGGTAGCCTGTACAAAGTTTCAGAAGAGTGGCTGGTGAGTTTGAACCACCGATCTTGCAGTTCAAACTGACCTTGATGTTGAGTGCTTATCCCATGGCACCATACCAGGAACTCCAGGTAGGGAACCTTTTTTCTGCCAAGAGCCATTTGGATATTTTTAACATCATTCACATGCTATGCAAAATTACCAATTTAGAAATTAGCCTGCTATATTTGGCCAAACATTTAATTAACTCACTCCTAATGTGATGGCTGGAGTCCTGATGTGGCACTGTGGGTTAATGCGCCAGACTGCAAAGCCATTTGAACTGCAAGGTTGGCAGTTCAAGCTCACCAGTCACTCCTCGGAAACCCTATACAGGTCACTATGGGTTGGAACCGACTCAACAGCATATAACAACAACAACGTGATGGCTGGAACTGTGGCTGCCTTGGCAAGGCCAGACCAAATGACTTTGTGGGCCTTATACAGCCTGTAGGCTGGACGTTCCCCACCCCTGCCCTAGGTGATAGAAGGTAGAGTTAGGGAGACTGAGGAAGAGAGTTGATGAGTGGAAAATAAACGTCTTAATGTTAAATTCATAGCTGCATAAGAAATTAACTGCCATTGTATTTATTTATTATGCATTTATAGTTCTAGTCTTTATCTCTACCCTAGGAAGGGTTTGGGTCAGTTCTAATGGCCACAGCAGTACATACATACACATCTTTTTCCTGATCAAATTCTGGTAAGGATCTAGGTCAATTCTAACGGTCACTGCAGTACACAAATACACATATATTTTCTGATCAAGTGAATCCATCTGTGATTTACACAATTACTGTGCTATTACAGTTAACCACAGAATTAGGGTGTGGTGTTGTAGGATAAGCACTGAACAACAACAACGTTAGTTTGAACCGCAAACTTGGTGGGTTCAAACCCACTAACTGCTCCTTGGAAACTCTATGCAGGGTCTCTATGAGATGGTACCGACTTGATGGCACTCAACAACAAAAAAAGTTTCCCACCAGTTAGAAACAGTTTCTGTCACGGTGACTTGTGTAGAAACCATTAGTCAGGGTTTTGAGAGTAGAATTGTCTCCATTGCATTTTCAGCAGCTGATTTTTTGGATGTAAATCACAAGAGCTCTCTTCTGAGGTACCTCTGGTTGGACTGGAACCTCTGATCTTTCATTTAGCAGACAAGCACTTTAACCATTTGTATCACCTGGTCACACTGACAGCTAACCAAACTTGAAATTGGAAACCACAGGCTGATATAGTTGGTCCATTTTCCATTGTAATTCTCTTAGATCACGAACCTGAAGAGAACCATCACCCACATCAGAGTAGCATAGAGAGAAGTTGAACTCTCTCTCTTCTTTCTTCCAGATACCTGGATATGCCAGTGTTCCTGACATTCCCATAATTATTGTTTTGGACTAATTAGTGACTAAAATTAATTTAAAATGTTCTTTCCAAACAGTTTATCGTAAAAGCCTTCATATACAGTTACTAACAAACTGCCAGGTGCATCCCAGAAGGAAGTCTACATTTCCTTTTGGATGTGTAATTTTGATTGATTCTCATGTTATCAAGACTGACTTGTCATTCATCACAAGTTTTCACACTTGAGATCAACATTTGGAAATATGACATATTTAGAAATATCATTGGATATTCAAATGTAAAAGTGCGAAGTGACACGGATCAGTCTACTTTCTCACTGAAACAAGTCCACACTACCAAGACCTCCTCACACCACCATTTGGTAAGAATTCAAAGAGTACATGCAGGCTTTACTTTTCTTTAAACAGATATT